AGCTACTACTGCTCTTTTTTGGTTTTCCTTTGCATGGATTGTTATTTTCTCATCCCTTTATTTTCAATCTATATGTGTCATTACAGGCAACATGTATTTCTTGTGGGCAACAGATCATTGGATCTAATTTGTTTTATTCATTCAGTGACTCTACGTCTTTTAATTGGAAAGTTTACTCCATTTACATTCAGTGTTATTACTTATAATTAAGGACTTCCTTCTGTCATCTTGTTATTTGCTTTCTAATTGTTTTGTAGTCTTCTTTTCCTTCTTTTCTTCCTTCCTGACTTCCTATTAGTGTAAGTTATTTTCTGTGGTGTCTTAATTTCTTTCATTTTATTGTTTATTATTAAATATATTGCATATTTTTATATTTGAGATTACCATGAAGCTTGCAAATACTGTCTTATAACCCATTATTTTAAACTGATGATAGCACTGATTTCATAAGCAAACAAAGGAACAGGCAAAAAGAAAACTAATAAAAACTCTACTCAACTTCATCTCCTCACTTTTTAACTTTTTATTGTTTCCATTTATATCTTATTACACTGTCTCTGTCTTGAAAAGTTATTGTAGTTATTGTTTTTGATTGGCTCATCTTTTCATCTTTCTATTTAAGATATGAGTAATTTACATTTCACAATTACAGTGTTATAATATTCTGTGTTTTTTTCTGTAGTTACTATTACCAGTGAGTTTTGTGCCTTCAGGTGACATATTGTTGCTCATTACCATCCTCTTCTTGAAGATTGATGAACTCCCTTTCGCATTTATTGTAGGACAGGTCTGGTATTGGTGAAATCCCGTAGCTTTTGTTTTTCTGGGAAAGTCTTTGTATCTCCTTCATGCCTGAAGAATGTTTTTGCTGGATATAGAGCACTTTAAATATGTCATGCCACTCTTTCCTGGCCTGTAAGGTTTCTACTGAGGCATCAGCTGCTAGATATTTTGAAGCTCTACTGTATGTTATTTGTTTCTTTTCTCTTGTTGCTTTTAGGGTCCTTTCTTTACCCTTGACCTTTGGGAGTTTGATTATTCAATGACTTGAGGTACTCTTCTTTGGGTTCCATCTTTTTGTACTGGAATATTAATATCTTTCTCCAGGTTTGGGAAGTTTTCTGTTATTATTCCTTTGACTAAATTTTCTACTCCTCTCTCTCTCTCTCTACCTCCTCTTCAATGCCAATAACTCTTAAATTTGTCCTATTGATGCTATTTTATATATTTTATAGGTGTGCGTTATTCATTTCTATCCTCTTTTCTTCTGTCTCCTGTGAATGTGTGTTTTCAAACAGCTTGTCATCAAGCTCAGTAATTATTTTTTCTGCTTGATCAGTTATAGTAAGAGATTCTGATGCATTCTTCAGTGTGTCAATTATATTTTTCAACTCCAGTATTTCTGCTTGATTCTTTTAAATTATTTCAATCCCTTTGTTAAATTTATCTGATAAGATTATGAAGTCTTCTTCTGTGTTATCTTCTATTTCTTTGAGTTGCCTCAAAGAGCTATTTTGAATTATCTGTCTAAAGGTCACATGTCTCTATCTCTCCAGGATTGGTCTCCAGCGTATTATTCAGTTTATTTGGTGAGGTGATGTTTTCCTGGATGGTTTTTTGATGTTTGTAGATGTTTGTCAGTGTCTGGGCATTGAAGAGTTCAGTATTTATTGTAGTCTTCACAGACTGGGCTTGCTTGTTCTCATTTTTTTGGGGAAGGCTTTCCAGGTATTTGAAAGGATTTGTAATCTAAGTTTTTGGTCACTGCATCTGTGGTTCTTGCAGACTCATAGAGATACTACCTTGGTGGTCTTGGATAAGATCTGGAAGAATTTTCTGAATTATGAAGCAGACACTCTTGTTTTCTTCCCTTACTTTCTCCCAAATGAATGGAGTCTCTCTTTCTGTGCTCAGCTGCCTGTAGCTGGGAAAGAGGTGACACATGCACTCCTGTGGCCACTATGGCTGGGACTGCGCTAGGCCATATCTGAAAGCAACATAGCCCTAGGTCTTGCACAAGACCCACTGTAACTACTACCTGGCTACTACCAATGTTTGCTCAAGGCCCTAGGGCTCTATAGTCAGAAAGGGTGAAGCCAGCCAGGCTTGTGTCCTTCCCTTCAGGGCAGCTAGTTCCCCTGGGTCCCAAGCAGGTCCCGAGATATTATCTAAAAGCCAGGCCCTGGAGTCAGAAATCTTAGAACTTAACCTACTGCTCTATTCTACTATGGCTAAGCTGGCACCAAAACCACAAGACAAAGTCCTTCCCACTCTTCCCTCTCCTTTCCATAAGCAGAGGCATCTCTCCCTGTGTCCCCCACCACCACAGACCCACAGGGAGTACTGCCAGGGTGTCAACAATGTTCACTTAAAGCCCAAGGACTCTTCAGTTAGCTTGTGGTGAATGCTGCCAGGCCTGGGACTCATCTTTCAGGGCAATGGCCTCCCCTCTGACCCATGGTAGGTCCAGAAATGCTGTACAAGAGCCAAGACCTGACATCAGGGACCCCACAGGCCTGCTTGGTGCTCTACTTCAGGGAGGCCAAGCTAGTACCTAAGCTGCAAGACAAAGTCCCCTTTGAAGGAGTTTCTCCTTATGGCCATCACAGCTGGCAATATGCTGGGTCACATGTAAAGCTCACACATTAGTCTCATCCAAGGCCCGTCACATGTACTACCGGGTTACTGATGCTGACTACTCAGGTCCCACCGTTCAGTCAGCAGTTCATGAATCCTGCCAGGACTGGGTTTTTTCCTTCAAGACAGCAGGCTCTCTTCCGGCCCAGGATTTGTCTAGACATGTCATCTGGGATCTAAGGCCTGGAATAGGGGCCTTAAAACTCTGCCTGGTGCCCTACTGGACTACGGCTGAGCTGGTATCCAAGTTGCAAGACAAAATAATCTTTACTTTCCCCTCTCCTCGAGCACAAGGAAGTGTTTTTTGTTTTTGTTTTTTAAATTTTTTTTTAGAGTTGTAAGCTATGGTGCCTGGGTTTGTGAGAGGGGTGGTACAAGCACTTACTTAACCGCCCTGGCTGGTGTCTTATTAGCTTGCATGCTCCCCAAGTCCACTGGCCCTGAGCCCACCCAGCACAGCACTCAGAGTTGCCTGGGAGTTGCAGTCCTTGTGGCCTAGACTGCCTTTCAAGTTTATTTAGTTCCCTAGAGCACTGTAACCTGCAGTGGTGAGGCTTGCTGAAACTCATGTTCTGACTGCTGGCATGGGTGATTCCCCTCTGGCTAGGGCTGGTCTGAGTGCTTCTGCTGTGGGCATTGGCTGAGTTCTGCTTGATGTTGACAGCACTGAGTTCCTACGCAAAGTTTCACAATCACTGTGTTCTCCCTGAAGTACACAGATTCTCTGTCTGTACCACATGTCTGCTGCTGGGGAATGGTGGAGGGGTGGTGTTGGTGTTTCAAGACTGTCTTTTCTACCTTCTTCAGGGCCAGGTACTGTGACCACTCACCTGATTTTTGGTTCCTATGAAGGTGCTTTTTTGTGTAGATCGTTGTAAAATTTGGTGTTCATGTTGGGAGGACGAGGGCTTCTGTTCCACTATCTTGCTCTGCCTCTTCAGGATATGTTTTTATGGCTGAAAAGGGCCAAGTAGCAAACATAGACACTCTTTTGTAATCAAGACAATATGAGCTAATATGGAAAAGGATGGAAAAAGAACTTGGCAGCATAGATACATAACTTACACTGTGATACATGAAGTAAAAAATGGGACAGTATTATCATGGTTTTAAAATAGGCAAATGGGTGGGATTCTTCACTATTATGAGAGCTACATTTCAATATTTTCCCTGTAGTTGATGATTGAATAATATATTGAGTCTTCACAGTCTCTCTTTTTCTTATTTTTACAATTAACAAAATGTTTTTAAAATAAGACAGAAATGTGTGGTGTATGTGTTTAAAGAGGGTCAAGATGAGGTCTTGCCATACTGTCAAGGATGGTCTTGAACTCTTGGCCTCAAGGGATCTCCTGCCTCACCCTCCCAGAGCATTGGGATTACAGGCGTGAGCCACTGTGCCTGGCCTAGACTAGAATTGTGTGTGTGTGTGTGTGTGTGTGTGTGTGTGTGTGTGTGTGTTTTAAGGCCAAATAGTACTGTATATAAATACTATTTTTTTTTTTTTTTGAGACAGGATCTTGCTCTGCCACCAAGGCTGGAGTGCAGTGGCACGATCTCGGCTCACTGCAACCTCCACCTCCCAGAATCAAGTGATTCTCCTGCCTTAGCCTCCCAAGTAACTGGGATACAGGCGCGTGCCACCACACCTGGCTAATTTTTGTATTTTTAATAGAGATGGGGTTTTGCCATGTTGGCCAGGCTGGTCTTGAACTCCCGAACTCAGGTGATCCACCTGCTTCAGTCTTTTAGAGTGCTGGGATTACAGGTGTGAGCCACCACAGGTAGCCATAAATACTACATTTTAAAATCCATTTGACATTAGGGATCATGGCAAATGGGTGGCAGGACTAGATTACAGCTTTGACTCGGGCAGACAGAGCAGCATGTTGAGGCTCGCATTATGAATTTTTGCTCCAGAGCAACTGCAGGAATAAGTCAGGAAACTCAAGAGGACCCACAGACCCTATGAAGGAAATGGATTGTTCCTGTAAGACCCAGTAGAGACCCCAAATACTGTTCTGGTATCCACAACTGAGAAACCCACAGACAATTCACATCACAGGACTCTACACACAACCCCAGTACCAGCCCAGAACCTGGTAGACTTGCTGGGTGGCTAGCTCCATAAGAGAGATAAAAATCACCACAGCCACATCCATAGGAAAAGGAGGAGAGTACTACATCAAGGGAATAGTGGGACAAAAGAATTTGAACAACAGCCTTCAGCCCTAGACTTTTCCTCTGACAGAGACTATCCAAATAAGAAGGAACCAGAAAACCAACTCTGGTAATATGACAAAACAAGATTGTTTAACACCCCCCAAAAGCATACTAGCTCATCAGCAATGGATCCTTTGTAGTGTCTGCAAGGGAAAGGGCTTACACGGGAGCACACCAAGCTTGCCTTCCCCAGCCCCTTCAGACACCTGTCTGAGGGCTTCTTGCATAGCCGCTGGCTCCTGAAGCTGAAACATGGGCACTTTGGGTGGCCAGGCTGGGAGATGGGCCCACCAGGAAACTGGAGCCTACATCCTCCTCGTGGAAGGGATGCCCACCCTGGTCCCACTGCAGAATCAGCTTCTGGTCCATCAGAGGATCGGAGTGTGAATTTCCTGAAGAACATAGGGGAGAGCTGCCCTCAGCCCTCTGGGCATGGAAGTTGATATTGATGTGGAGCATGGAGGGAAAAGAAGCCACCTGACCCCTGTCTCTCCAGAGAGTTCCAGCACAGAGGAGAAGGGCAGCTTGCAGCCAAGCAGCTGCTGCTCTGACCTGAGCAATGTGAGTGGGACCATGGAGGGTGCCACACAGTCTCTGGTGAGGTGGTTGATAAAGATCACCTTGGAGCCCGAGGGGCACCCTGAGGAACAGATGGAGTCTGATAACTGTTCGGGAGGAGACGATGACTGGACCCATTGTCTTCAAAAGAAGTGGACCCATCCACAGGTGAACTCCCGTCCCTACAGATGCCAGAATCCGAAGGGCCAAGCTCTCTGGACCCCTCCCAGGAGGGACCCACAGGGCTGAAAGAAGCTGGCTTGTCCCCACATCTCCCACCAGAAGCTGACCCGTGGCTGATTGAGTCCATCTCCCAGAGGCTGTCCTTGGGCTTCTCTGACTAAGGCGGCTTGCTCATCAGGGTCCTGCAGACCAAGAATTATGACATCGGGGTGGCTCTGAACACCATCCATTATTCAAAGCATCCGCCGCCTTTGTGACTGCTTTTGCCCACCTCTTCTGTGTCCCCCTCTTCTGTCTCGTAGTTGTGTTAAGCTAGTGTAGAATTGCAGGCCTCTGTATGGACCAGTTTCTCCGCCTTCTTCTTTCAGGATCAGGGGTTGGGGTGCAAGAAGCCATTTAGGGCAGCAAAACAAGTGACTTGAGGGGAGAGTCCCCGTGTGTGTGTGTGTGTGTGTGTGTGTGTGTGTGTGTGTGTGTGCTGATGTCTGAGAAACAAGACTGGCCTCCTGGGTGCCCTGGCTCCTTGCAGCAGGGCTGGGCCTGTGAGACTGAGGTTGATTGCAGCGCTCCTGACCCCTCCCTGCAGGGGCTACATTAGCAGCCCAGCGCATAGCTTGACTAATG